ATTTAAACCGATTTTACCGGGCGTTACTTTCCTTAATATGAATTAAGGACCTCAAAACAAGAAACAAAAATTCTTATGAACGATATGTACGCAAACGCTTAGGTTAGGACATATTCAGACTAAAGATTTTCATTGTTATATTACGTTATATTGAGTAAATAAAACTTATTTATTTGTTCCAACTATTTTATTAATTAATTGTAAATATTAAATTTATATTAAATGTTGTTCCAAGTGATTTACTGGATCATTAAGAGAGGCTCGACATAAAAGACCATATTAGTATTCTATCTAATCCATCTCCTATACAAAGCGTTTGCGGACATACCTTCGAGGAAATTTTAGGTCCTTAGTTCATTTTTGCAGTTTGTCCACTTACTCTGAAACACTCTGTATATAAATTTAAATATTTTAAAATAGCCATAATTTCTTTAATACAATAACGATTTTATGTTGTGTTTTTTTATGGATTCAATTTTAACGGAGGTTTCTATTCGCTAACTAGAGGTTTTGCGCGTGGAAATTGAACGAATAGATTTCAATTGCATAGTGCATAATGATTGTTTTTGTTACAAATAGAGAAAGTTTTTCTTTAGTTTTCTCCTTTAACCATGGCAGTTACTTTCATGGTAACAGAAAGTATTTAGAATAATAATAGTAATAATACAGGAACAAGAGGTTCGATGCTTACACTAACATCATTATACATCATTTCAATTAAATATATTTAAGGTATAGATATATTCAGAATATTTAAACTAAAAATTTACATTGATACGAAACCGTCCGAGTAGAAAATCACTTCCTCCTATGCAATTCGTTGCAACACAACGTCGAATTCCTTAGGAACATCGATAAATCTAGACGCCGTTCCATAAATCCATGTTGCAAATCTTGGAGCAATCCATTAAGGAGATCTTGAAACTGGACATTTATTAATTCTAATTAGAACTAGGCTCTGGATACGGCACTTATAGCCAGTAGATAGGATCCTACTCGCACGTGGGAGGAACAAGAAATTCAACAGGAATATGTTTCTCTACTTGCGATACTAGTTTCGATTCCGGCTGGCGATAATATATAACCAGCTACCTGCAATATATTGCAGGACATCTTGCATCTTTTCCAGTAATATATATTTAAATATTTAAAAAAAATAAATAAATATTATCCCTAAGTTATTGAAACATATTCTGCCAAATTTATCATATCTGTGTGTATGTAAACCATTGCACATTTACAAGAAAATTAAAATAACAGAAATCACAAAATTTTGAATATGATCTTAAACTTAATAGTATTCTAAAAAAAAAGAAAAATGAAAAATTCATACCAGACTGAAACAACAAAAACCGCTCGACGTTTCCGATTACTTCGGCACTTACTAGACAAACGCTCTAAACTTCCAATTAATTACAAAAGACTCATATACATGACTATAATAAGGCCTATTCGGACTTACGGAGTTGAGCTGTGGGGCTCCACTAAACCATCGAATTCCTCTTGTATCCAATCCTTACAATCCAAAATCCTTCGTAAAATCCTTCATGCTCCTACTTTGTAATAAATAAAACCATCCATAATGACCTTAATGTTCCTTATGTTTCAGATCTGGCCCAATCTAGATACCTATCCTTCCATAATAAACTTCAGAATCATCCCAACCCTCTCGTTTCTAAACTTGTTATCTCTTCAATTCCTGATAACCCTCCGAGGCGTTTGAAAAGAACATGGCCCCGTGATCTCCTAATGTAGACATATTATTAGAGTGCTACCATTGGGTAGTTTCTCAACAAGTGTTTTCACGTCATTATATCCATATGTTCAAATTTATATTTATATCCATATTTCTTTTATACAGTTGTAAATATCATTAAGAAAAAAAAATAATAATAAAAATTATGAAAGATATTTAAATTATTATCCCTCATATTTTGTACAGACTGTTTTATTGAGAAATAACACATTCTGTCATACGTAAGGCCAGTTACAATATATTTTAATACATGTAAAATTAAATCTATTTATAAATAATTTACTTTTTTTTTTTCAACATTAGCTAAGATATGGCTACTAAGATTTTTAAAACAACAATTGTTTTTTGATCAAAGTCGTTAGCCTACAATTTATTCAACTATTCCAAACGAAATTGATCGTAAAACTGCGTCTTTAATGTGTGAGTCATCACGTTTACTTTGGACCACTCAACTAAATTGGATGTTACGACTTCAAATGTTTTAAATAAAAAAAAAAAAAGCGATGCAATATATTACATATAAATTTTAAATTGCAAGATGTATTTTCTTCTTAAAATTTTTCTCACAAAACTACCGAACTAAATACTCAAATAGAAATTCGTGAAGTACATTGTAATAAAACGGACGATCGTATATTCTTAGCTGAAAATTAAATTATGAATAATAATTTAAAATTATACAGTTTCCGACTGCTTCAACACTTACTAGACAAATGCTTTAAACTTTCTATTAATTACAAAAGACTCATCTACTTAACCATAATAAGACCTATATGGACATATGGAGTTGAGCTTTGGGGCTCTACCAAACCATCGAATTCCTATCGTAGCCAATCCTTACAATCCAAAATTTTTCGTAAAATCCTTAATGCCAAATATTTTGCCACAAATAAAACCATTCATAAAGACCTTAATGTTCCATATGTTGCTGATTTAGCCCGAGCCAGATACCTATCCTTTCATGATAAAATCCAGTCCCATCCGAACTTGTTTTCAGCCTTACTTCTTCCTCGCTTTTTGAAAATCCTCCTAGGCGACTGAAAAGGAGATGGCCTCGTGATCTTCTCACCTAGAATTAAATAGGGAGTGCTACCACTGGGCAGTATCTCTTCAAGTCTGTTCATGTCATGATTTCTAATGTGTGCATTTTTACTAGTTGTATTGTTTATACAGTTGTAAATTTCATTTTATAAATTTATGAAAAATGATTTAGCAAGAAAAATTTTAACTATTAAAAAAAAAAATTAGAATGGTATAGAAACGTAGGAATTTAAATGGTTCTAACTTTGATAGGAGAATTACTTTTTTAAAATAATTGCCTCAAGATGCTTCAACTTTACTTCAATAACTACTGAAAAGTCTTAAATTGCATTTAAGTTCAATAGTTAAGAAAACTTTAAAATACTAAGAAACTAGGCGTGAGAGTAACGATAAAATAAAATTTATCAAAAGGTACTTTATTGGATCCAAGAAAACTTTGAACTCGAAAATTAAAATATATCTTGATGCTTTTTTTCATCATTTTTCTTATACATTTTTTTCTATTATCATACTTTAGTTTATCGAGAAAGTTAAGGAGTTTTAGAAACTTGACAATTACACAACTGTGAAATGAACAGAGTGGAAGTTATGAGTTTTAATATTTTATTGGACCATATAACTTGAATTTTATTTCTTCACAGTAGGGTGCACTAGTTATGAATTATGTAGGAGGTTAGAAGAAACTGGCCTCTTTTCCTATTATAAAACTCATAATCCGATTGGCGATCTAGTTTTATTATGTAACAATAAATTTGTTTATTCTCGGTTCAGCAATATTGCGAATATATATTATTTTAGAGGGAATTTACATTAAGTATCTCCTTTTTTTACTATTCTATATGAATCACCAAATTCATTTTAAAAAAATATTATATATATATATATATATATATATATATTATATTTGGGGGTGATAAATATTTAGGACGCAGTCATTATAAAGTTTTCAGGTACTACAGTACTTGAATACCTCCAGTGCTCGAACCACGCCCTGATGATGACCCACATGTTTGGGTTGAAACGTCGGCACTAATAAAAACTGTATAATGACTTTGTTGCTTGTATATATATATATAATATATATATATATATATATATATATATATATATATATATATATTACTTTGTATTTTTTAAAGTATAATAAACACGTTTTCTTTCATTCATAAGTAGTAACATTAAATTAATTACTCAATATTTAATAGTTGACCGTTGCATTATAAAGGAAGATGGTCCGGGTTGGCGGTCATAAATAGGCTAAATAGTGGTAAAACTATTTTATTGAAAGCCGACGTTTCGACCCGACTTTGCAGGTCTTCTTCAGGGCTAGAACGGACAAGATACAAAAAGATAAAGAATTGTGGCAGTTACATAATATTTATAAACAATGTGAATAAGCTTATTAAAATTATAAACAGTAAGTACATTAAAGTATGAACAATGTAAGCTAAGTAACAAGATCCTAAACTGAAGTCAATAGATGCTAACGTTCTAGCCCTGAAGAAGACCTTCAAAGTCGGGTCGAAATGTCGTCTTTCAATAAAATGTTTTTACCACTATTTAGCCTATTTATGACCGCCACCCCGGACCATCTCTTTCCTTTTTAAATTAATTACGTTTAAATAATTTTAAAACAAACAAATTTCTTATTTCAAAAATTTATTTTAGATGTTTTCGGAAGACCTGTCACATTAAATAGCATTCCTTTAAAAATTAAAAAAAAAAACTTTTGTATATTTTACTAAAACCATAGAAGATAATTAAATCTATAAAAATTATTCAACTTTAACTATTTGTAATTATTTTATGTTGTGACAATATAAAAATTAAAGCTAAAATAATATACTTATATAATGACTTACGATATATTTTTTTTTTTTTTGTAAACTGTTAGGAAATAGTTCTATGTAATAATCGTTAATAATTTGAATAATATAAGAAGAGAGCACCTTTGCAATTTAGCTATTATCGGTTCTTCAAAGGCATGTTTGTTACATCACAAAGTATTCCAAGAGAAAGTAACCAATAAACCCACAAATATCGTCATTACAATCATAGTTTAATGTTTGAGGTTTTGCCGAACGCAATCAGGGTAGTATTATAATATAGGTATATATATATATATATATATATATATATATATATATATATATATATATATATATATATATATATATTTTGTTTTAGTTATAAAAGTACTCACGTTGTGTCTGGGCGGCAGAGATGTGATCCTTCGAACTTTGGCAGGATGCAGAAGAGGACGAAGGAGGTCCTTGCCTGTCCTGCATCGCCGCGAAAGCCAGGATAGTTGCCATGTTCTGAGGAAGGACCATCTAGAAAAAAAAAAAAAAGGAAGGATATAAGTAAGAAGGATATAAGGATATAACAATTATTCCAGAAACATCAAAACGCCCTTACATACAGGCAGGTATAAAAATTAGATTTGTTCCAAGCTAATGGAGGTTAAATTGTCGAGCACGAAAATGAGAAACGTTTATAGTGCCTTAGGCCCCGTGGTGGTACCTAAAAATGTTTTGATGCCTTCCAGGCCTCATAATGAAACACAGCTTAAGCTTTGTGCTCGTCTGTATTTTTTTATTTTTTTTTTATTCTGTAATACTCCGGTATTCCTTGTTCTCTCTGAGTGTATCATTACTGGAAATATTAGGTTAGAAAGCAGTTTCAAAGATGAGGAAAAAATGTGTGATCTCGCAGATAAATGGATAATAGAATAATAAATTATAGGGGAGAAAAGGTGTAAAGTGAACGAGTAAATATTCTTTAATATAAAGTATACAATTTAAAATACATTAGTTTCTAATCAGTATTATAAAGAAGAAAAAAAAACTGTTATTTCCTCACTTATAGTTTTATTTAATATTAAAAAAATAAAACCCTATTTAAGGTTATAGAAAAAAAAAAGTTTCTAAACTACTATAAGATAGTAATTCTACCAATAAAACAAAACATAATACATTCAAAATAATAAAAATAAATCTATCGGTGAATCGATGAATTAACGCAGTTAATTTCATTCATTTCACGTCATAAGTATGTAGTTTATTGCTATTTAATTTATGAAACTAAAGCATCCTAACACAAAATTTTGTTAATATTATTTAATTTATGAATATTTCAATCTTTTAACTATGGTCGATTAGTAATTATATAATGATTTGTATTTACAACAAATAAACCAGGTAATCAAATAAAAATAATATTAAAAAAGTATATTTATATAAAATTATAAACATTTGAGCATATAGCTTCATGGAAAATTTAATAAAATTCTATATTCGCCCGTGTTTCTATTTAAGAATTATTTATTCTAAATATTTTTGCATTCTTCATGATTCATGGTCTATACTCATAAATGTTAATAGATAATGATTCAGCTACAACGACAATAATATGCTAATATAATTAACATTTTAAATACCTTAAAAATTAATATCATTGTATGATAAAAAGAATATTAAAAGTAAACTGATTATAATCGATAGAAATAGTAACTGATTCAGGAATTAATTTAGAAATTTATTTCCAAGTCCTCTTGATTCCCCTAACAAATGTATATATATATATATATATATATATATATATATATATATATATATATATATATTTAAATTTTATTTTATTAAGAAATAATACATTTTGCCTCAGTTAAGGGCATTGAGTATTAGAGCTGTGTGAACTCGTTCATACCATATATACAATAACAAAAACAAAAGAAAAATTATAACAAAAGAAAATTTTTATTTTACGTTAAATTTGCCACTGCGTTGTATCGTATTAAATGTGTTGGTGTTTATTCTGTCTTGTATTCTTGATCCTTGCTTAAATTGTCTGCAGAAGATCTCTAGACCACTGCCATTTTATTCGTCGTTGAAGCTCACCAGGTAACAGGGAGGAAGAGATAGAACGAGTGGATTTGGATGATTGAGAGTAGAAGAATGAAATTTTGTGTACGTAGGATTTTAATTTTGGTATGTTCATGTCTTAATGTGTGTCCAATTAGGTCTTAATATGGTGGTGTAGATTAGTCGCTCGTTTAGTAAGTTGAGTGGAGATCTGTAGTCCAAAAGATGTTGCAGTTGTTTGTATCGTCTGGTCAGTTCTTTTTTTTTTTAATTTAGTGCGTATATTCCAGGTGAGTTTTTTGTCCAAGTATAGTCCGAGATATCGCACATGAGTTTTTGAAGAAACTGGCTTGTTGTCTATCGTCACAGCAGGACATGAGATGTTTCTCAGAAAGGAGCTAACATGAGTTGACTTGCTGCCATTTATTTTAGTTTTCCATTTGTGGAAAAATTAAAAACAGAACTTATTAAAAAAAAAAATGAAACTTGAGACAATATTAAACAAAAATATAAAAAAACACATTCATACTTATTTACAGTCAGCAGAGGGAGCTTCGAGCCGGGCTTTTCTCCTCACGTGTGGAGGATAAGGCCAGACTCTAAGAGATCCCGGCGCTTCTCTCTCAGCCGCATCACTGGGCATTTATGAATATATATAAACAGTATAATAGCGTAATTAATTTATAAAAAATAAAAAGAGTGTGTGTTAGCGCTGAAAAAAAAATTGCGTCATTGATCGACTGTAGAATTAAAAATCGTTAGACTCGACACTGCCTTCGATTACGATCTACGCTCTTCCGCCTCTGAAAGGAAGTAACGTACACTCCATAACGAACCGACTGAATAAGCACCTAGAAGACACCGAAAGGGTTCGGATGAAGTACAAAGGTTCGATGTGGAGCTAGATTGTAGAATATGCGGGCAAGCACAAAGCCCCAATGGGTGTCCAAAGGGTGGGATATCAGATCTCACAACTGCTACCGTAGCAGAAAAAAAAGTTGTGGGTCGATATTAAAACAGATGCCTAAGGAAGTGACATGTGGGCAGGTCTATTCTCTTCATACGTCCCTCTTCCTGGGCGATGTTCCTATTTCGTTAATAATTCCTTCGTCTGGGGAGAGTCTGAACTAAACAATTCATTTCGAGCTACACGATGGGACAAAATAGCGAAAGAAATAAAAAAAGAACCTAAAGAAATAGGCGTGGGATTGAAATATTTTGCAAAAAAACATAAATATATTTTCAGACAAATCAAAAATCCCGAACTAAGCGAAAATCTCGAACAAAGCTGGTAATTTTATTCAGATAAAAAAAATCTAAGGTATGTGCTTTAGACCACAGAACAGAAGTTAAAACAACATAATATAGAAATATTTTATTTACGAAAATTCTCGTGATTAAAGCATTTTCAATCTGGAGAGAGGCAAACTTTGTATATTTAATTAGGTACTAAAAACTCGTAAAAATCCATTTGTTTTCCTCCTGAAGATCCGTAAGATAATTTTAGCACAAAATCAAGAAAAATTTAGCCTTTAAAAATATCAAGTCATTTGGAATGACCTACAACTCAAAATTGTCAAAATAACAACATTAAATAGGACTAACCGTCCAATATTTATGTAAGCCACCTTTTTTCTCGGTTTTGTGCTAAAACTATCTTACGATTCACGTGAAAAGCAAATGGACATTTACGAATTTTTAGTGACTAATTAAATATACAAAGTTTGCCCCGCTCCAGATTGAAAACGTCCCAATTGCGAGAATTTTCGTAATTATAATATTTCTAGGTTATGATGAGATGAAGTTATTTCCGAAATTTCAGGCGGATGTTAATATTTAGCTATTTGGCGTGATCTACACCCCCAAATTCTTAAAATAAGGTTATATAGAACAAACGGATCATTATTTTTGTAGGCTACTTATAATTAATTAATCTTATAATTATCATACGATTCAGGTGGAAAGCAAATGGACATTTACGAGTTTTTAGTGACTAATTAAATACATAACGTTTGCCCCACTCCAGATTGAAAACGCCCCAATTACAAGAATTTTCGTAAATATAATATTTCTAGGTTATGATGAGATGAAGTTATTTCCAAAGAGAGCCTTTAAAAATATTTAGCCATTTGGCGTGATCTACACCCACAAATTCTTAAAATAAGGTTATATAGGACAAACGGGTTATTATTTTTGTAGGCTACTTATCTTATAATTATCTTACGATTCAGGTGGAAAGCAAATGGACATTTACGAGTTTTTAGTGAATAATTAAATATAAAAAGTTTGCCCCTTCGGATTCAAAACGCCCCAATCCCAAGAATTTTCATATTTAAAATAATTGAGATGAAGCTATTTATGAAGTTTCAGACGGATGTTCATAATTTGATTAAAATGGGTCTGTATCACGGATACCACGATACCATTTTGAATAATAGCTCATTACAAAGAGGATGAAATGGTGAACATTTCCCTCGCTGATAATATGCAAGTCCGATTTTTAATTTTTGAGATATTTTGATCCATATGCTAAAAAACTTTAATTTTGCCTCTTAATCGATTATTTAATTTTAAATACCAGGAGTGCCAAAGGGTCACTCTATAACAAGAATATATAATAATTACTTGCAACATACATACACAAATCAGTGCCTTACTCATCGTATAGATGGACTTCATAAGTATTGCAGCAATAATGAAAATAACATTTTTAGTCAGTATAAAGGTGTAGTTTTTTTTTTATTAGTGTATCATGTTAATCTCAAATATTAAAAAAAAAATGATTGCTATTCTATAATTTTTTACTTTACAAATTCTAATAATTTCTATAATTTTATCTGTATACAAGAAGAACTTTAAGGTTTTTTTTTTTTATTTAGTATTTTTTTCTATTAAGATTTTTATTGTAAGAACTGTTTAAAGTAACTGGTTAATCAATATCTCATGCAAGGAAGTTATGGTAGGTGGGGTACTTAAGTATTTACGGATGTCCAGAAAATACGTGGGAGGCCAAAAAGCAGATGGATAGATTGAATAAACGAAGATGCTACATTGGAAAAACTGAAATAATATACAAGATCTATCAAGATTAATTTTTTTTCGAAAATTAGTTTTGAGTTTTTTTTTTTTTTCACTTTTGCCTCACTTTGAGCTCTTCCATTAACATGAAGCAGTTATATTCAGACATCTATAAAAAACAATGCTCAAACCTGACGAAATACTTTAAATGCATCCCGAAAACTCAGCCAATGTTATTGCTGTCCGAACACTCCTTATCTTTAGTCGTTATCTTCAAGAAAAAAAAAAAAAAATCAGAACCCAGGTTGAGACCCATTATGTAAATTTGGACGTTGAGGCCAGAAAATCTCCATTTTGATGTTTCCCTAAAGCTAATCCTATATAATGAGGGTTATTACCTCTGGGAGCTTACACCAATTAACTAATTGTTTAAAGGTTTGTTTAATAATAAT